AGGTTTTGACCCCCGCTAAGGATTTCATTGATTGGCATATCAAAGACAACCCAATCTGACACCTAGTGCAGTATCATAATCGAGTCTAGGGGTTAGGTGTAACTTTCCAGTTTTGCCCATCAATCTCCAAGGTCCAGAGCAATACTGGAAATTTGGTCCGGTTCAAAGATTCAATTAATCCTACACTGCATGTGCCTTGGGTCTCACCCTAGCGACTGAGACAGGCCGCCCCAACATTTGGCAGCACACCAGTGTCAGCCTTAGCAGGATAAATCTCCCCAGACTTATCCAATGGCTGTAAACATTCTAAGCTAACACGAGTCTCATAAGTGTCTAGTTTAAGGATATTACACAGAAACACACCACAGGAACATAAATCAAATATGTACTTTATTCATTTACAATAAATTCATAATGTTCATCATTCTGATTGGAGCTAAGGGCATACAACTGTCTAACACTAGGTCGTGCCAAATTACCCCTCATCAATATGCATGACTTTCAATGAGGGTTAGTATTGGGTAAAAAGAAATAGGGTTGGGGGTTTAAGCCAATTGTCTTTTTTTTTTCTTTTTTTAGTTGGCTGGAATGTGATTCTCATTGGGAGAGTCGGAATGGCCATTCTCAAAAGGGGGAATGCCATTTCACTAGAAGTGGGAATCAGAATCCCATTCCACCCAATCAAACAATTAGGTCATTCTAGTTCTGATTTCAAACCCCCATTCCTTTGAATCAAATGGATCTTAAGTTCATTCGAATTCAAAATTCCATCATCTCTTCGATTATGGCTAAACTAAGAACACCAAATCCAACTTAAATGAATCATATTCATTTGTTCTAATCTATTTGTTTATGTATTCATTAAAATTTGGAATGTAAGTAGATAGAAGTAAAATGAAAAGTATCAAATTAAGGCCATGTTTGGGAGTGCTTAAAAATAAGTGTCCATTCAAAATAAGTGCTTATTTGGGCCATTAAGCACTTATTGGTATTTGGGAAATAAGCCCAAAATAAGTGCTTATTTTAAAAATAAGGAATTATTTTTTAAGCCCAAAATTCCGGCTTTTTGTAAGTGCTTATACAATAAGCACTTATTAATTTTTTTCTTCCAAAATTATCCCTAGTTGAATTTTAAAATACCACTTATAATATTATCCCTAGTTGAATTTTATAAAAACACTTTTACAAAAGCACTTTTATGAAAGCACTTTTACAAAAGTGCTTTTTACAAAAGACTTTTACGAAATTACTTTTATGAATGTGATTTTACGAAAGTGCTTTCTTAAAAGCATTTTTATAAAAGTGCTTTCATAAAGGCATTTTTATGAAAGTGCTTTTACAAAATCACTTTTAAGAAAGTAATTTTACGAAAACACTTTTTTGAAAGCATGTTATAAAAATACTTATACCTATAAAAAAGTACTTTTATATACTTTCATAAAGTACTTTTATAAAAGTGCTTTTGTAAAAGTGCTTTCATAAAAGTACTTTCACAAAAGTACTTTCGTAAGGGTACTTTCTTAAAAGTGTTTTTCATAATTATGAGAAACTATTACTTCATTTTTCTCCCTTACTTCATTATGAAAGTAGAAATATATATTTTATATATTTCATAATTAATTCACCAAAGTAAGGGAGAAAAACTATTACTTCATTATGAAAAACACCAAAGGGAGAAAAATGAAGTAATAGTGATTCACCAAAGTACTTTCACAAAATTAATTCATTAAAATGAAGTAATAGGGTACTCTCTAATAATTATGAGACCATTCTTAAATCTCTCTCTCTCTCTCTCTCTAACCTTAATAGTCAATGTTTGTAAGTTGTAACATCTCCCCTCTCCATTAAATCTTTATTTTCATCTTAAATACCTCTTAATACCCGTTGGCTCTCTCTAATAAAGTATGGTGTAAATTAGATGGATTGGGTTAGGTTACGGGTCAACCTAAATGTGAACCTTAGCTTGGACCCAAGTTAATGTCAAAAACCCAAATGTGCCCACGAGTATTGTGAACCAATCTAAACAAATCATTGCTTCTTTCCTTGGCTTATCAAGTTCCAGTTTTTGTTTTGCTCCTTGGGTTCAGGTTTTTCCCTCTACTTCTATTTATTTAATACAATGTAGTTTATTTCATGAATTGTTCTAGTTCAAAAAAGTAAAAATATATAAAATACTATTCTACATGTAAAAAAGTAGAAATATATAAAATACTTTGGTGAATCACTATTACTTCATTTTTCTCCCTTAAAAGGTATATATTTTTTTTTTAATTTTTAAATAGTGTAATGTGCATCGCACAAGTCACTACTAGTATAAATAGAAAGCTTAATACTCCAACACACTTCTTAGTCTAAGCTCCTAAAAATCATGTTGATGACTTCTTTTCTTTTAATCATTGTCTAGACTGGATACCAAATGTTTAGGACTTTGTAAAGCTTGAGTTGGTATAAGTAATTTAATCTTTTTAGTTTCAAAAAAATAAAAAAAAAATCCCATTTAACAAATGGAGAGACATCATCACCATTAGAGCCCAAATCTCCTACAAATAAAAACTTTACTCAAATAGCTTCCATCCACACATTGGGAATATCTCCCATACATTTATGTTAAATTCATGGGGGATATTCCCAATGTGCAGCGAGTTTCCCATGCTTTCATATTCACATTAGTTCCTTACAACACATTACAACTATTCATTGGGAATATCTCTCCATGAGATGTGCTATGGGGCATGTGCAAGGTTTTAAAAGGCTAAAGGCCCAAAAAGGTGAGGTGTAAGCCTCAAAGTGTTGAGAGGCGTAAGCCTAAAAAATTAAGAAAAAAAGTAATTAAAATTTATAAATTATAAAAATAATGTGTAATATGCAAAATTAGAATGATAGAAGGTAGAAATATCCATAAAATAGAAATTTACAAGCAATATGTTTTAACTTTTAAGCATTAAATAAAAGAACAATTAATCATCTAACAATTATAAGCATTTTACATTTTATGTTTCAAAATGTAATCTTATGAAATTATTCATATGAAGAATCATCTATATAATGGGTAGATTTATGGTCATCCAACAGTTGTGAAAAAAGAAACAATGTAGTTGATTTGATCTATGTAAAAAATCAATAAAAAAGAAAATTAAATCCATTTGGAAAAGAAATAAGAAAAACAACAAACTTGGGAGGTTAAATTAGAATCTTAAGAAAAAAAAAGTTCACTTGATTTGTCCAAGAGAAACTAATAACTTGATTGGCCATTTTTTTGCATTTAACTCTCTTAGGCTAAAATACTAAAAGAAACTAATAGGATTTGATTTGACCTATTGATTTTTGATTTTTACTCTTTTATTTGGTCCATAATTATTAAAGTGCTTTTTCTATTACATTTTGAACTATAAAAAATACATGAAAATATGTATTTTTTGCATGGAACCATTAAACAATGTTGATATTTGAGGCTTACGCCTTTTTACGCCTCATGCATTGAGGCTTGAGGCTTATGCCTCATTCTGACAATGGCTTAAGCCTCAAACCAAAGTTGTGAGGCTTAAGCCTTGAGGCAAAATCTGAGCGCCTTGCCTCAAGGCATATGCCTCATGCCTCAAGGCGTAAGCCTTTTGAAACAATGGGCATGTATAGGAAATGTTCCCAGTGCACGCTAAAATGAGCTGTGGGGCACGTGTGGGTTGTGTTCTATGGGGAGTCAATTTGAACTCCATGCTTTTATGGTGTGTGTAGAGTTTTTATTGAATCCCATTGTGGTTGGATTCAGCTTTTTTTGCTTAGACCTGACCAAGGCCAAGTTTGGGAGTGCTTATTCGAATAAGAACTTATTTTGGGCCGGAACCATACCATTAAGCATTTATTGATGTTTGGGAAATAAGCTCGAAATAAGTGCTTATTTTAAAAATAAGTACTTAAACAATAAGCCCAAATTTCTAATTTTTTGAAGTGTTTAAATAATAAGCACTTATTCAAAATTTCTCTACCAAAATTGTCCCCATTTAATTCTAAAATGTCCATTTATGCTCTTCCACCGTTGTCTCCAAATCCCCATTTCCCTCAACACACATCCTACCACCGCCATCATCAAACCGCTTTATCTCTTCTTCTTTGAACACTCTGTTACCATTGTTGGAGTGGCTCTCCTCATCTCCACCACTACGGGTCACTGGTTTACTTTAGCTATCGGATTGGCCCGCAACTTAACCCGGCCCACGGTTGCTCTCGAACCTCTCTGGACTCTGGCTTTCAAACAATCAAGACCGTCAGGTCGGTCCATCTTCCGCAGTCAAACCTCTGGCATTCTATGGTCTCATCTCATCATGTCCTCACGTCCTTAGGAGATCTCAGCGTTGCACTTTGGCGTTGCTTGCTATCTTTCCTAGTCCTCGTTTAAAAAACAAAAAGAAATAAAAAATACAAACCCTAGAGGAGGGATTGGGCAATTCTCGGCTTCTTTCTCTTCTCTTGTTTTCTTTCTCGGTGGTCTGTCTCTCTGCCGTTACTCCAAGTTTCAAATCTAGCTCTGCTTTAGAGGGATACAATTAGGGTTAGGGTTAGGGTTTTATTCTTCTTCCCTCGGGTCCGTTTGTTTCTGCAAAATTTGTTTTTTTGTTTTAATTCTGAAATGGGAAAGAGGGAGAAGATGAAGGGAAAGCTCGAAGAAGAAGAGGAAGAAGCAAGGAAAGCATCGGTAATTTTATTGAGCAGCAGTGACGACGAAGAGGCGAACAAGGATTTGAGCCTTGAGATTGTTAATAGAGCGAGGATGCGTGAAGCCAAGAGAAAACGGGAGGAGGATTCCAGTGAAATCGCTGGCACTAGTGAGGTTCGATCAGCTATTGTTATTAACCTCTCTTCCTCTTCTTCTGAGGAAGAAGTTGGAGGTCGGTGTGGCGCTGGTGATGTTGGTGAAGCGCCGACGGCGGTAGTGGTGGAGGTGAAGAAGAAGAAGAAGAAAAAGAAGAAGAAAATCAATAAGCTTGAAGCTGAAGAACGGACTGTAAGTTAGATTCAGTTCGTTTCTTTGTTCTGCTATTTTTCTCTTACTACTTAATTTGAACCAGAATCGAAAGTGTTTCTCGATTCTGGTGGTTTTAATTGATTGATTTAATGTTTTTGTTTCATGTTTGTTTCCCAACCATATTGGTGGTTGAGTATTGAATTCATGCAAAACGAAATTTTATAGTTCTTTCTGCAATTGGATTGATTGGTGTGTGAGGATTGATGACTTTTTTTCGAAAAAAAGGATTATAATGGCGATTTTACTGTGCCCATTTTAGGTTGGATATTTAAAGGAAGGAGACCAGGTAGAAATGGTTCAAGCTGTTGAAACAGTAGAATCTGTAGAAACAGAAGCTGTAACTGATAAACCTGTGGAAGCAGGAGAGGTTGATATATCAGACAATATTGAGCTCCGAAAGGAGGAAGCAGGAGCGGTTGAGATATCGGACAATATTGTTCTCCGAAAGCTTCTTGTGAGTTTTCTGATTTGGTTTCAATTATGAATTTCAAATTTGAAGTTCCTCCCCTTCCCCACCGGAAAAAAGAAGTTTTCTGCTTTAATTGAATTTTCTTTTTCTTTTCTTTTCTTTTATTTTTTTTTCTATCAGCGGGGACCGAGATATTTTGATCCTCAGGAAGGAAGTTTCGATAAGTGCTATAACTGTGGTGAAGAAGGTCATACAGCGGCCAGTTGCACCTCAAAAAAGCGGAAGAAGCCATGTTTTGTCTGTGGGAGCTTTGAGCATGGCGCCAAACGTTGCAAACAGGTATGCTCTCCTCCATGTCCTCAAGCTTTTATCTGCATCATAATTTTGTAATCCAAAAGTGAGCCAGAACTCCAATATCATAGCAATTTGGCTCTCTCCGTGGAAACCTGTTTTTAAGTAAGATTGGACTTATGTTGCATAGAATTGAACAATATAAAAACTCTTTTACATGGTTGCATGATTTAACTGCATGAGTGGCTATGCATTAAATTGAGGAATTGATATCATCCTATCCTGAAAACAAAGTATTTTGCTAATAAAAAAAAAGTATTTCTACTTCAAAGTTAACTAGCATCAAGAACAAGGATCAAAATTTTGATACGATATTTTGGACATATTGTATCATATCTTTTGGTTCTTGATAACATACAGGTGTTTTTGGGAACTCATTCTTTTTTTTTAAATAATATATAAAACTATATTTTAAACTAAAGCTTAAAAAAACCAAGAAAAGGGGGGGGGGGAATCTTCAAGAATTCATTTGCTGCTCTTCTTCCAAATAGCCTACAATATCATTTTAAAGTGTTCCATGTGTTTAAAGGTAAACCCTGAGGCATGGGGTATATAAGCTCATGAGCGTGCAATTTTTCTATATTGTAACAATATAGAGTATAATACTTGTACAGAGGCTTCATTGTATTTTGGTTCTTTGATCTTAATGAAATATATTACCTTATACATTAAAAAAAGTATGATACTTGTTCTTTTTTGTATTTTAGTTGACTTGGATTTTGGAAATCCAAATGCACATGGTACAATAACAACCAGTCTTGGACCTGAGAATAAAGAAAAAAGGAATTTTTTTTGTTGAATTTTCATATGTTCTTAAGGTCAGATAGCATGTTTACATCGGTGAGTTGTCGAAAGGGGTGTTCAGATAAGACTTGCTTGTGCCTTGTGAGAATGCCATGCTTCTACTAGCAAACAGGGGCATGTGACTCAAGGCATATGCCTCTAATGCCTTTTAAATCACATGTCTGAGATAAGACAAATGAAGCAGATTTCATAAGACCTTAGTGATTGAATACTGCTATCAACCAAGCAAGGATCAAGTGAAAGGTGCTACCATGTCCAATAAAGGATTGAAAAGGTACTAAAACCTTTAGAGGTGATAACATGGAAGAGCTCGACACGGCCCGCAGGTCATCACGGGCTGTGCCGCCCTCCCCAGTGAAATTTTGGGGGTCGGCCCAGCACGGCGCATGGCCCATGGCCCAGGCCTGCGTGGGCCCATGTCGTGCCGTGCCGTGGGCTGGGCTGGCCCGTGGGCCAAGCCTTGGCCCAAGCCGGGCCAAAGTTATTTTTGCCTATTTATTTAAAAAAAATTGAAAAAAAACTTAAAATTTTAATTTTATATGAATTTTGATGTATACAATTGCTTATATATACAATAATTAAATAAATTAGTATAATAAAATTGAAAAAAAAGTGTTTATTTTATTAATATATTATATACTATATATTATTATATAATTATAATTTATATGATATATTATATATTATATATAAATATTATGTATATATATATAAATGTATATAAAATATATATAAATAGTATATATGGGCTGTGTCGTGCCGTGCCTGCCCATGGACTTCAAACCCAAGGCCCAGCATGGCATGGACCATCGTGCCAGGCCTGGCATGACTCGTGGGTTGTCATGTCCCCGGCCCGATTTACACCTCTACACTAGACTTTAGGAGAAGATGACTTTCCTGATCAGGGGCAATGGGGCATTTTGTGAATGGACCTGGGCTATGGAAGGTGGTATAATTAATTGTGCAGCCCTATTGCCTGGTGTAGTGAGGGAGAACACTTTTCAGGATTTAAGTTGATTAGTAGGATATTTTGGCAAGAGATTTAAGATTCAACTTTTTTTTTGTCTGCTCAATGTTGTTAAAATCTTACTATTTTACGATTTGAATTATGAATCCCATGGGTTTCAACTTGAATCTTATGTCTGAATCCTTTTCTGCAAAAATATTACGATTTTTATTTGAATTCTACTATTTGAATAATAAATCTTACGATTTATACGATTCGTGTGATTCAAATCAATTCAATTATGAATTAGTTCTCTACTTTATCATTTTATTTTGTTAATATTTAGTTTTGTAATAGGTAACTTGTTTTAAAGACATTACTAAAAATTGACATATTTATGTTATTTAAACCATATATTGAGTTTATTTTTCATCATATATAGGATAAAGAGTCATTTTATGTGGATTATTTGGCTTTTAAGCCAAACTTGATTATATTATCTTAGACTTCTATTGTGTAAGTGGTAAATTCTATTCATTTAGGTAGATACATGGTAGGTATGGATTAAAAATAGGGTAGAATTACTTTTCTATATACATTTTGCCTTTTAACATATTAATATTTTATTTTTTTTTACAATTTTTTAAACTATAGAAATAATCTTACAATTTACAATACTATTTCATGATTAAATTCAATTTTCTCGATGAGTAACGATACGTTTACGGTTATCAGAGCATTGCTTTTGCTGCTACTAGCACTGGTATTTTCTCAAATTTAAATTTTATGCAGCATTCATTTTAGAACTTCTGCAGCAAACTTTAGAGTAAGATAACTGCCCTAACCAGGGATATTTTGTCAATGGACCTGTGTAATTGAGGGCATAGGGGCTGTTTAGCAAGTCTTTTTGGGAAGATCTTCTGGTAGCTCTGACAGTTAAAAGGCACATTGAGCTTTTGCATGAAGATCTGAGCAGTCCAAAGCTAGTTTGGCTACTGTGCGTCTTTCTCGCATCTTTTTGGTGCACTGACTTTTGGCAGATAGATCTGTTAAGAACCAAACGGAAAAAGGACCGCGACGCGGTCTGCCTGGCTTGTAAACAGCCGAAAGACTGCACAGAAAGACGTGCCGAATGGGACCATAATTAATTGTGCACTTCTACTAATACCTTGTTTACTGAGGAACTTCCTGCAGGATGTTCACTTTTTGACATGTGCTATAGAAACCTTTGCTGCAGTGGACACTGGCAGATCCAAACTTTCTTGAATTTGGTACTTACTGTGGTTCTTTGAGCCAAGAAGTTGCTGGGGATTATCACATTGCCAATATGTTAAATGTTATATATATATATTTTTAATTTTTATGTTATTTATCTAAACTTTCTCAACCATCCAATAGATCAAATTGGTAACTTAGCATCATCATCTGCCAACTTTCTACTTAATCTATGGTACCGGTTTTGATGTTTCATGGATGATGTTAAGTTTTTATATCATTAGGGTGTGGGTCTGCTGGTTGGGTTGTTTATAGAAGTTGTCTTAACAACTAGAAATCTTGTGATAGCATGGTTAGGGGCCCACAAAAGCCCCATATGTTCCTTTGGCCACTTATTTGTGTGGATGTTTTAATCCAAAAATATTTGCCATTTGCAAAAAAGAAGCCCTTTTTAAATTTATAAAATGGGAACTCTCAGTCTCACTCAGAGAAAGCTCAATACTGGGCGGAGTATAAGGATGACATGTGCTGGAAAAAGTTAAGGTATACCTAATCCATTGTAGTAGTAGATGTAATTTGGATTTGCCACTTGGTAGTGGTGTAAATAAGGGGTTTTGCCTGGTGAAAATGCTAATCATTCTGATTGAATTACTTCTTTTCATGTTATTGTTCTGTTTCCTTTCCAAAACTTTCTATGGAAAAAATTTGAGAGAAAAAGTTTCTTTGGAATGGTCCTCATAAATAAAAAGAATGTCTTCATGATTGTGATATGGTTTTCCAATTTGATTGGATTGTTACTTACTGTGTCTACTATATATGTATTTTTCAGATTGATAAAAAAATATATGTATTTTTCAGGGGCTGGAGTGCTTTATTTGCAAAAGAAAAGGCCATCGTGCGAAAGATTGTCCAGAGAAAGACCAACGGGGATCACAAAATTCAAAAATATGTCTAAGATGTGGAGATATAGGGCATGATATGTATTCATGTAGGAATGATTATGCACCTGATGATCTTAAGGTCTGCACAATCTTCTAAGATTCCTTTTCAATTATGTTCTGCCTGTCCTTTTGTGTACAAAAGGTTTGTTTACTTAAATTTGAAACCATTTGGACATCCTTGTTTATGATGTTTAAACCCCCGCTCCCCTGAAAAAACACTTGGACAGGAAATACAGTGTTACGTTTGCAAAAATTTTGGGCATCTCTGCTGTGTTGGTATGGATTGCACTGCTAGAGAAGTTTCTTGTTACAATTGTGGCCAGTCTGGTCATACCGGTTTGGTAAAATATACTAGCCACTAGATTAATTAAAGCTTTTCTGTATTCAGTGTTCCCTATTTGTTGTTAAAACTCCTGTTGCTTAATAGTAGTTGTCTGTTTACACAGGGATGTGCAAAGTCACGTGGTGAAACCAGTGGTACAGGGTCACCTACTTTGTGCTACAAGTGTGGAGAGGAAGGGCACATTGCACGAGGATGCACAAAATTTACTAAGGTCTATATTGTCACATACTCTTTCTTGATCTATGAGAGTTATTTAGTTGATCATTGGGTTTTTCTGTGGCTTGTTTATGGTCCACCTGTTCATATCATAGATGACAATTTTTTGTAATTTTCCAGTTTGGTCAGAGGATGGATGAGTTGTTAACTCCTACTCGGAAAAAATTTTCCAACAAATCTAGAAATGGATTTAGATCTGCGCCGCATGATCTTGGGAAAGCTCATAAAAAGAAAAATGTTGTTCGATATGAAGAAAGAGTGGTGACAACAGCAGTGAAGTCAAAGTGGAGGGGTGGGTGGATTACTGATGATCCAGGAGATCTGCTCAATGTTAAAGGCAAAGCAAATGGTTGGAGGTCTCCTGCGACACCAGCCAAAAAGGATCATAAGATTTCCACCCTAACTGCAGATGGTCATTTTTCAAATTCTCGATCTCGAAAAAAGTCTAAGCTTCTTTATGGAACTCCAGGTTCACATGGTTCAGTCGATACTTATCAGCATAGATTTTCAGCTTCAAGGTTCGGAAACCATAGTGTAGGTGCTTTGCGGAGAAATTATGATTGGTAGGAGGGATCGATTAATTAACATTCAAGTCTTACAAATGTCCATTAGGAGTGTTTCTGCAAATGGAAACGACACTACCAGATCAACCGTGTATATCTCTCTCTCTCATCTCTGTGAAATATTGCCTCATTAATTGTTTTCCTTTATTAGATATGGTTTAGACTTGTTGATGTTACAACTTGTCTCCTTGTGTCTTGGATTTACCATATTGGATTTCATTATAAATCAAATTATGATTACAAATACTTAATTAACTTTGTTTCATTTCTTGGATACAGTAATTTGTAGTTGATGGGAAGTGGGTAATTATGGTGCAAGGTCAAGGTTTCTGGTGCTTTTTGGAGTGCTGCTCTCCTACATGTACCATGGCAGATAAATTCCTAGAATCAGGAAAAATCTTTGGAATCAATTTTCTAGAAGCCATTATCATTCTTTAATTTTTTTGTTTGTTTGTTTGTTTCTTTCCTTCTCTTTCCTTTCTCAGATGCCTGGCTACAAAGCTTTTCTTATAAATGATGTTGCAGCCAAGTGTGGTAGACGGGATTTAGCCGGTCCCTAGAAAGCTGTACTTGAATAGAATGTAACATGCACTAGTATTTCCAATTTACAACTTCATTTTTTGACATACTGTATCTTGGAGCAGAACAATGTGTGAACATGAAAAAAAACAGAATAGCCAATTTGCCAATTTGGTGAATGTCAGCTGCTAGATTAACTGTAAGACGTTCCTGATATCTGAGAGCTTCATACATAATTTTCCATCAAAGGTATACAAATTGTGTATCATGTGACATATGCCCGATTTTGAACAACGTAGATGGTAGGTTGAAATTTGAATACAAAGTGAATTTAATCCAAAGTGTTTAGTTGAATTGTATTTTGAGGATTTTAAACTTATAAGGGTAAAACACAAAACCTCCCCCAAAGATTTTGACAATCATAGAAACCTCTACTATAGTTTTATTTTAACAAAAACCTCTTAACTTCTAAAGAACTTGACAAAAACCTCCTTGAAGGTTCAAAAAATACGCCCTCTATTAGGTGTATCGAATTGTATCTTTTTGGGTCCCAATATGTCTGTTTATAGGTGTTTTGGGACCTAGTCTTTTTTAATAAAAAATACTTTTTTAACTCTCCAAAACCAAATTTTGAAAAAAAAAACTATTTCCATGTGTATTTAAGTATCATAATGCCTTTGTCGACACAGAGGCGTATCAATACTTTGAATCATGCCCTAAAGTTGTCTTTGACGTGTCAAGTTGTCATTAAAATATTTCAAAATATTGGAATTATCCCTACAAGTTTATATTTGATATGAATTCTGCTTTATCTTCATATGCTTTTGACTCGTAGTTTTTTCCATTGAATCTGACAAATCCTGAGAAAAGTATTCATGGTGATGTCTTTTGGACTTCAATCAATACTTAAGTATGACAGGCTATGTTACAGAGTACGGGTGGAGTCAAACTCCTTCAACCTTTCCTTTTTGTTGTAACTAACTAACCAGCCAACCAACTTAACTCATCAGTTCTTTAGTGGTTTTTTTTTTTTTTTTTTTTTTTCACAAGTGAAATTTTCAGCATGGCAGGGTTGAGAAGACATCATCAAATCAGGGATCTACTGGATTTTCTACCTTTCTACCCATTTAACTTAATTTTAGGGATCTCCTTTCACATAGGTTGGGTGTCCATCACTAATGACTTATGTAACGGCCTTCAGCCCCATTTCTACCGATGTCTCATAAATCACTTTAGAAGTCTGTGGTTTGGTTGACGAATCTGCAAGGTTTTTTTAAGACCTTACAAAATCCAGGGTGATTGTACATTTGCTAAGGTATTGTTTTATCATATTATGCCTTAAGCGGATATGCTTTTTTTTACCGTTGTAAGTCTGGTTCTTAGCTCTGGCTATTGCTGTTTGACTATCACAATGGAGAGATATAGACGGAATTGGTCGTGACCAAAATGGTATATCTGCCAGTAAATTCCTTAACCACTCTGCCTCGGACCCCACCAATTCTAGTGCAATAAACTTGGCCTCTATTGTTGAATTTGTATTACATGACTGCTTTATCGATTTCTACGATACTGCTCATCCACCTAGAGTAAACACATATCCACTGGTGGAAGTATTATCCTTTGAATCTAAAATCCAATTTGCATCAGTAAAGCATTCTAAAAGAGGAGGAAAACCTGAATAGTGTAAACCAAAATTTATAGTTCATTTTAAATATTTTAATAATCTTACTAAAACTTCCCAATGTTCATTTCCGAGATTATGAGTGTAATGACTTAATTTTCCCACAGCTATAGTTATGTTTATTCTTGTGCAGTTCATTGAGTAAGACAATTCCAATTATATTTACATATTCTTTTTGTGAAACAGGTTCTCCTACATGTTTCCTTAAGCGAATACTACAATCAAGAAGTGTTTTAATTAGTTTACAACCATAGTGTTTTAACTTGTTCCCATTATTAGCATATCATCAATATATAAACAAATCATGACTCCTTTATCGTTTTCAAATTTACTGTAGACGCATTTATTAGAATAATTTCTGTTATATTCATTAATTATTAACACATTATCAAATTTTTCATGCCATTATTTGGGAGCTTATTTTAAGCCATATAGAGACTTAATTAATTTACATACTTTATTTTCTTGTCCTAACATCATGAAGCCTTCAGGTTGCTTAATATATATTTCTTCCTCTAATTTCCCATTTAAGAAAGTTGTTTTTAGATTCATTTGGTGAATTAGTAGTTTGTAAATAGATGCTATGGCAAACAAGACTCTAATTGTAGTTAATCTTGCAACCGAGGAGTAAGTGTTAAAGAATTCAACATCTTTCTTTTGTCTAAACCCTTTAGCAACTAATCTGACTTTGAATTTATCTATTTTATCATATGATTTTAATTTTTTTTTTTAAATCTATTTACAATCCAAAGCCTTAGTTCCAGGTGGAAGATCTATAAGTTCCAAGGTGTGATTGGTGATTATGGAGTCTATTTCACTTTTTACGTTTTTTTTTTTTCAAAATACTGCATCAAGTAAAGTTATGACTTCCTGATAGGTTACTTGGTCTTTGTCCACTAGAAAAGTGAACATTTCGTCATCCAAGTTTGTTTCATTTCTGTCTTTTACTTCTCTTTAAGTTTGGATCTTGATTCCTAGAATCGGTGTTGTCCTAACTAAGTGAATTACTGATTCCTTGAGCACTTGATTGTTCTTGGTTTCTGTTTTGGATTTGGAATGATTCCCATATATTTTTTCTTTTCTCCATGGAAAATGTGCTCAAAGAATTCTGCATCTTGAGATTATTATTGTGTTATTTTCTACAACATTATCAATTGTTTTAATTACAATAAACCGATAAGCCGCACTGTTTTGTGCATATCCAATGAACACACAGTCACAGGTTTTCGGTCCTAATTTCTTTCTTTTAGGTTCAATTATTCTAACTTTTGCTAGGCAACCCCAAACTTTAGCTAATTCAAACTAGGTTTTTTGTTATGCCAAAGTTCAAAAAGTATGTCCTTTCTTCTAGGGTGGCATTCTATTATATAGGTGACAAGCCATTAAAATTGCTTACACCTACAAATTCAGAGGTACACCTAAACTAATTAGCATAACATTCATCATTTCTTTTAGTGTTATGTTAAGTCTTTCTACTGCTCTATTAGATGTAGGTTGCTAAGGGGTTGTACTTTCATGTATGATTTCGTTTTCTTCAAAGATTTTTCTAATGGTTTCTCCATCATATTTAGTTCCTCTATCTGTTCTAAGTCTTTTTATTTTCTTTCATAACTGATTTTCTACTTCAATTTTATAGTTTATAAAAGCTTAGTCAGCCTCATATTTTGATCTAAGTAGAACTATTGCATATCTAGAGAAGTCATCTATAAATGTTATATAGTATCATTTTCCTCCTCTAACTTCATGATATTTAAAGTCTCATAGATCACTATGTATAAGTTGTAATAATTCAGTTTCTCTTTGTACATTTTTTTTTAGGTTTCTTAATGAATTTTTCTTCTACACATACTTAGCATTTTTCATTTGTAAAATTAATAGGAACATTCAAAACTCCTAACTTACATAACCGTTTTAAATAAGGAGCACTACGATGTCCGAGTCTAACATGCCAAATATCAAATTATTCAATAATATAAGGAGAAGAAGAAGCAATTTTATTCATAACAATATCAGAAGTATTTAGTACAAATAGTCCACCAGCATTGTATCATTTTCCAATAAATACATTATTTTTAATTAACACATCATTGTTTATTTCAAATGTGAGTTTCAATCCTACTTTGTTGAAGAGTGCTCCTGATACCAAGTTTCGTCGGACCTCTGGCACATGCAACACATCATTCAGCATTAGAATTTTTCTTGAAATTAGTTTTAGGAGCACATTTCCTTTGTCGATAACCATCAAAATTTGTGAGTTTCCCATGAAGACTTACTCTCCCTCGGACTGAATTGTGCACTCATAAAAAGAGTTGTGGTCCGCACATATGTGCTTGGTAGCACCAGTGTCTAGTACCACTTCTTTGGCTTATCAACTAAGTTTACCTCAATTACCATGGCTATGATAACATCCTCAGTCAAATTAACTTTTGGTTTCCCAGAATCCTTCTTTTAGTACCGGCAGTCCTTCTTGTAATGTTCGAGTTTGCCACATACATAGCAATTTCCTTTCTTTCGTTGCTTCTTGAATTTATGGTCATTTTTCACATTCAAATTCTTTTTGAATTTTGTAATCTTTTCCTTGGCCATATTGGTTTTGGAAAACTAATTCTCATCTTTCTTTCTGTTCTTTTCTTCTATTTTAATTCGGACCACTACTTGGTCCAAAATAATATACTTCCTCTTATGTTTCATACTAGTCTTGAAATCATTTCATGTATGTGGCAATTTCTCTATGAGAAAACCCGCAATGAATTCATTTGGCAGTATCTTGTCTTCCTTTACTAGTTCCCCCACAAGCACTTGAAACTCATCTATTTGGGCAAACCCATGCATGTCTTTTTTCATGGTGAAATGCAGGAACTTGGCAATTACACATTTTTTATTTCCAGTATTTTCCAGAGCATACTTATTGTCCAATGCTTTCCAAATTTCATAGGCAAAGTTATAGGAAGAATAAACATTGTACAGTTCATTGGACAGGCAGTTGAGGATATGGTTGGTGCAGAGGTGGTCAGCTGTAGTCTAGTGTTCTGTAACAATAGAACGGGCTAGTTCCTCCATGTTTAATGGGTCCAATTCAGTCAAAGCAAAGGCTACCCCTAACTTCTCTAAGGCAAACAACAAATGTTTCTCCAACGCTTGTAGTTAGTTCCATTGAAAGGTTCAATCTTAAGAGAAATCGGGTACTGTTGACAGTATCCGGTTTCTCATGAAAGGGTTAGCAGAGATAGGTTCCATAAATGCGGTTTTAAGATTGTTGAAAAATAATAAGAAAGGAAAAATGAAACTTATCGGTAATCGCTTTCTAAACCGAAACTTGCAGGAATGTGATGTTGCAGAATTGCAAAATGGAGAAGTTGCAGAGAGGAGGGATGAGTCATGCCACTTGGTCACTCCCCTTAAAACCACATTTGCCCCCTACGGTGCAGAGGTGATTGCAAATTGGTTGCCAAGATAAATCAGCCCGCAAGCCACTAGTAGGCGTGCACTCACTTATCAGACCTTCGTGAACCACAAAGAATTGATGCTCAGAG